AGGTTGCTGAAAATCCGTCGACAGCCCATGACCGGTTTCGCCCTGGTGCAGCACATTCAGCTGCTTCGAAACACCACAAACGAGAGATTCAGCTGGGTTCCAAGCAAGTCTCTCGAAAAAGCAAATTAGTTTGCAAATGAGTGTATGCTCGCTAATTTCGTGCAATTTGGTTTCAAAGAAACAGTAAGGTTGACGTAAGCCCGTGGAATTCGCCTACCTGATGAGCCCCAAGAAGGGCGAAACCGGTCGTGAGCTGTAGACGGATTTTCAGCAACCTTATGAGCAGTGCATTACCAATATATACAGCAAACCTACCCTACCGTTTTCAGGGTTGATTCCACCTGAACGTAATAAATTAGTTTGCATAAAACTAACGAATTTCACTAGTTTGCAACTGAATGGGTTACACCATGCCGCCCTAAATTTCGAGATATCGCGATGAGCTGTTCCGGCGAAACACACTACTCACAAGGTTGCTGAATATTCTTCGACAGCACACGGCCGGTTTCGTCCTCCTTGGAGTTCATCGGGTAGGTGAAGTCTTCGAGTTTTCGTCAAATTTATTATCTGCTTAAACCGAAATTGCACGAATTTAGCGAAATGCAGTGATCCGCATACCAACTTGGTTTTGATGGGCAACTGAATATGCCTCGCCAGTCCGCCTCTCGCTTCATTTGGCACGATATTCGAGATATCGCAGTATATTCTCATAGGAACATAAGGTTGACGGAAACTCGGGGACTGCGCCTATCTGATGGGCCCCAAGAAGGGCGAAACCGGTCGTGGGCTGTCGAAGAGTTTTCAGCAACCTTGTGAGTAGTTTTCCTCATGAAAATATACTGCGATATCTCGAATATCGTGCCAAATGAAGCATGAGGCGGCCTGTGTGCAGCACATTCATTTGTATACTATCATAAATGAGAGATTCAGTTGTCTTCCGTGAAAACCAAATTGATTTGCAAATGAGTGTATTTCTCGAAAAACTTTCCGCTGGCGGCCTGTGTGCAGCACATTCATTTGTATACTATCATAAATGAGAGATTCAGTTGTCTTCCGTGAAAACCAAATTGATTTGCAAATGAGTGTATTTCTCGAAAAAACTTTCCGCTCTGTTCCAAGCGTTTTCCAACCGATTGAAGTTTGTGTTTACTTACTTACTTGACATAACACATTTCTTGAAAAGTTGTTGAAAACTCCTTGACATTCCATGACAAACTTCGCCCTTTTTGGTCACATAAACTAAGCTTAGTCCCTGAAATTCTATCAGTCTTATGTCCTTTTTTCAGTACCAAGTTGTGCGCAAGTGGCGGAATACATTAATTTACAAATGGCATCACGACAGAGCTTCATCTGACCCTCTCGTTAATACTACTGTAATTTGGCCAGTTGTGCAAGCCCCTTTTAAGCAAAATAAACAGATACGAAAATCTGGCCGCAAATCAAGCCCGTTCAAGGAATGCTAGCTACTGATCCATACAAAGTTTTGTGCCATGTAAAATTTTTTATTTGTGATGACTTCACTCGTCAGTTTTTGTGGATAGCGTGCAGCCGAGATAGGAGAAATCAGTTCTTCAGGCCAGCTCAAAATTATTTGGCTGAATACTTGACATTCCATGTCGAGCTCGCGATGCGAGCCACTCAAATTAAAGCCAAGGCGAGATGCCACCATAGTTCTTCTTCCGAATTCACATACACAGCACAGTAGTTCAAAAACCTAGCATACAGACGGTGAACTCATATACATCGGCTTTGATCAAGAAATACCTGAAATTGCATAAATAACCTCCTGGTCGCTAAGGAATTTTGTATACCATCTTTGAACCTGCTGAAAGCATCCACTCAGGTGGCTGTTAACTACAGACTGTGCAAAGCTGGACAGGAAAATAACTCTTCTGCATTCTACTACCTATTCCGAAATCGGTCAAGTTTTCATTGAGCCTCCGTAAAGCTTCGATGAATTTGAAAAAGTTACGTGGACGATTAGACTGTCGTGGAGCTATCCACAGTGTTTAGGTGAAACCACAAAGCCTACAGAGCGGTTGATTTTGTTCACCCCATTTCTGGGGGATTTATCTTGCAGCGGAAATTAACTCAACCGTGCTTGCACCACCTCGATACCCACACTAATCTTCAAGAATATTTTCTTTCATAATGGCAGTGACTAGTCGATTCAGATGGATATGAGCGACAATCTTGTCTGCTGCATAAAGGGGGCTGATTCCGCAGTAGTTGTCCATCATTTATCGGTTTTATTTCCACTCCTATGCATACATCCTTGGAATCTTTTAAAATGTCTTCCATCCCCCAACTTCTAAATAGCAAGTGGAGAAGTTCATTCTGCAGCATTAGTATTCTGACTTGAACAATTCCGCAGCTAAGCCGTCCACTCCCTTTGCGTTTTAATTTTGCAGTGTATTTATGACCTTAAATGATTCTATGGTTGTGGGTAAGTCAACCAAATAAGTCGTCACTTTAAGTCAGAGCAGACGACTTATGTAGCTCAGAATCAAATCCTATCCTTCTGATGAGCCCAAAATGTGGTTTCCAAGCTTACAGAATTTTCTGTTTTCTATCAGCTGAAGATAATGAACTTTTTGTCCACACATTTCTTTTAGTCCGATAGCGAATGTTTTCTGACAGCTGCGATCCGCGTACGATTAACGCACCTCTTTTTATTTGGTCCGACATTCGATTTTGTTTACCCCAGGTTTTTCGCAAGTTTAGGCCAAACGCCTCTTAGTCACCTCCGAGTCTCTGCATTTGTCGGACCTTGAATTGCTTTGGCAAACGCCAAGAACTACTTTTGGGTGAAGGTAGATATCGATTGCCTAACTTCGTCAAACCAATCTCCCCTCAACCCTCGGTTTAGCCCAATTTTATGCGCAGCAATTACTTAGACACGAGCTGTCATTCGGGCCAGCTTACCTTCGTGTATGATTGAAATTCGATCATCCATAAGCCCTCGCAATGAAGCTTCGCAAAACAACCATCCAGATTCCTCATGCTCCTATTTTTTCACATTCAACTTGAACTGATTTCCTCTCGGACCTATGGAAGTTTGCAAAGTGCAATGCGCACGGCCCTACGCAACGGACAGCCATAAGCAACAATTTCGGGACCAGCACACCGTGCAGATCTATTTGCCACACGGCAACGTAGTCGATGATAAGTCCATGTCCACCTCTTGAGTGAGTCTCTGTATCAAGATGTGTCTACCCCAAACTAAACCACGTCGTTGTTAGTGAAATGGCCAATCAGGACACTATTGCTGTTTTTTGAAAATATTCTGAGAGGATCCAAGTTTCCAAGTCATTGCCAACAGTAAAACCACTCAACAGGAATGCAGAGTCACTTGAACTCGTCGATTATATGAGCACCAACGTTTGAACGTTTGAACGTAGAACTTATTCGTTTCCCACCTGATATTGTCTGGGCACAGGCACCGATAAATGCAATAGAGCTTGCTCTCGAGAGTCGGATGGTCATCATTCTGTACCTGATGCCGACATATTGTTCACTGATTCATTTCTTATGCAACTGTGAGTCTCCTATCGTGTACATGTCACTTTTTTTCCACTCTAGTAAAAAGTATGAGCAGAGCTCCCTAGATCAGTCAGCCGGATGTGACCTAGTGTGGCTAGTCCACTCCAGCAGCCTGAGTATCTTTTCGGCAAGAAAAAACTGTATGTCTAGCCCTTATTCGAGAGGTTTCTCACATTCCACGTTCAAATCCGACCCTCAGGAAACCATGCTTGAACATCACTACCGAACATCTGTGGATAGGAAAACCACGTACATATTGGTTACTCATGAGTAGCTAAAAGCCTACCGGGATATTTTCCATGCTCAAGATACGATGGGGCGTCCAGGTCGACCACAAAGACAATCCCGGTGGACGTTGACAAAGTAATGGGCTGAGACCGTCAGACCTCGTTCTCAACTCTTCAGAAGAACAGGCTTCCGAAAGCTGGGTATTGTTATCAGTTTCCACGGTGAACCATAATCTCGCCATCCGACGAAATTTTCTACCATCCCCTGTTGTGGGGCTACCGGGCGGAATGCTTTATAATGGCATTAAGAGATCAGTGCTGTGAAGTAACAAACGTAAAAGGCTTGGTAGTGGGTGTGTTATATCTGACTGGTGTCTCCGCTCCAGTGGCTTAGTGTCGGAAAAAAAGACTCGCCGACAAGGAACACAGCTGCTTTATTGCAACAAGCGTGTGCACGCGAGTGCGAAAGTTACAACTGCCTCGCGCTATTTCAAGGGCACTTCTTTGACATTGATCCAAGCTGTCTCGTTGGCGCTTAGTGAGCGCCAATCAACATCGACCGGGCTTCTATGAAATGCCCGGACGCTTATCGTAGTCGGTCGTGCTTCTGTGGCGTTTGTTGTGGATTTTGTTGAACTGATTGAGTGATTGACAGGCCTGGGTGCTTGCCGGTTTACCTATTGGGATTTTGGTGGAGTTGTAGGGTCTCAGTGGGATCTGGGCATTGTGGGGCTACTTTCAGGATGTAAAGTCTCTTAATGAAGGAGCTTATTGTGGAGAGATCCTTCGTACAAACTTTGATATCATTGTGCTGTTGAGGTGGTATAGTATTGAAATGGCAGTCTCAGATGTTTGCTTTACACATCCGATGTGGTTACATAGCTAAATTCGTGCTCAGAAAGCAACCCGAACAGTTTACATCCAACGCGATCTTTTCAACACTATGCTTCCGAGTGATATTTAGCTTGTCCTATTCCTGTTGTACATCACCAGCCTTAAAATTTTGGCAGTGGTAATTGGCGTACTGACAAGAAAAACGTTTTCGAATAAGGGATCAGGTTATGTTCAGCATGACGATGCGACAACAGGTGAGTGAAAAGGTTGCGTAGGTGTCAGGACATCATACAGGTAAAGTGCTTAGGACCTGACTAATGGACTCAGGTGAACAGACTGACGGCGTGACTTGTGGCAGTATTTTTCCATGCCATAGATTCACCTTTAGTTGCACACTGCAACAGTGTATGATGAATTTCATGATCAAATCGCTCAGAATGTGTCCTTCTGTTATTGGCTAGATCATCAGTCATAGCCCTGTCCCCCTAACGAAAGCAAGTCGCTGCCCGTGGAGTGTGAGCAACCAGAGGGGCTCTGATGAAGTGCCAGACAGGGATGGCGTAGAAAATAGCGTAGAAAAATAACGGGCGTCGCTATGGCAATCTCTTTTTGAATGTCCGCAGATGCTAGAGTGCAAAATGCTGCAATGAACGCTGGTGTAACAGCACTTCGGTAACAAAATCCACCTGAGTCAATCAGTGATTCGCATTCATTCAGTCGTGATAACTGGTTCACCTAAGTATAACACATTCATACGAATCAGGTGTGAACGTGTTGTTGTTCTAACTTAGTCCGCAGGTGGCGTCGATGGGTATGGATTAGAGCTGATATCAACTACAAGCCTTATTTATCAGCGCATCTCACTAGTGCAACATGATAGTTCAACCCTGAGGTCCACATGACCCAAACTTCGCTGGCGTGTGAAACATTTCGCCTAACGTTAACACGTCGATTCGCCAAGGTGAAATAGT